GCCCTAAAAAATCCCAGCATAAAGTATGATAAAAAATAAAAGCGATGTCTCCCATTTTAATGTGCAGTATGCAAGACAGTATGTTCCAGGGCACAACGCTTCGACACAAAACTCCAAAATAATACTTATACGTAGATAGAGTTAAGCCCAAGTTGATGTGTTTACATTAGTTTTTCACTATGCATAAATGTTTTAGAATCTGCTAAAAAAAAAAGAAAGAACATCTGTAGAATGTTAAAAAGACAAAAACCAACAAATAGTATAGAGAGCTGAGATTTCTTGAACTCATCAAATTCTAGGCACTAAAAGTTCTCTATAAACTTTATAGATTCTCAGATAGCTATGCGTTAGCAAATGATGTTATTTTTGTTTTTCATCTGAAGAAATGAAAGCATCATGATGGTCAATAAATTGCCCTTTATAACTGAGGAAGTTGGAAGCAGAATTTGAACTCAGATAGTCTGACATCAGAGCCCTTGCACTAACCCAGCATGCTCATTTTTTCATTAAAGAAATACATGTGTAAAGCAACAACAAATTTGCACCAGCAACAGTCAGCAAACTTTCTTTGAAAAAATAAAACAAAAACAAAACACTGAGAATAAATGTTTAAAAATTTGCAAGCCGCTTACCCTCTGCTGCATATGTATTTTTAGTTCCACTTTAAAAATGTAAAAGAATAGTCTCCTCACACAGGGCATAAACAAGCCAAATAAACAAGAGAAAGAGCTGTAGTTGAAACCTTATTTATTTATTTATTTATTTATTTTTGGGGGGGAGGGAGGAGAGTTTATTTCACTCATAGTGAAACCTGATTTAAAAAATGTCAAGAATAGGAGCATATCCAAGAGTTGGACTCAGTATTCAGTATATGAACTAACAGAGAAACCCAGGATAGCACAGATCAGAGGAGCTACTTCGGAACAGAGGCATATCCAAACTTATGGGACACTATGAAAGCAGTGCTAAGAGGAAAATTCATAGCACTAAATGCCCACATAAAGAAATTGGATAAATCTCACACTAGTGACTTAACAGCACACCTGAAAGCTCTAGAACAAGAAGAAGTAAAGTCACCCAGGAAGAAAAGATGCCAAGAAATAATCAAATTGAGGGCTAAAATCAATAAAATAGAAACAAAGAGAACAATACAAAAAGAATCAATGAAACAAAGAGTTGGTTCTTTGAGAAAATCAACAAGATAGACAAGCCCTTATCCAAATTAACCAAAAAAAGCAGAGAGAGAGCATACAAATTAACAAAATCAGAAATGAAAAGAGAGACATAAAAACAGACAACGAGGAAATCCAGAGAATCATCAGGTCATACTTCAAAAAACATCGTGGTAGGAAAATGCACAGAGAAGCCAGTGGGATAGAGCATGTGGAAACAGTTAAGTACTCTTAAGAGGCAATGAAACAATTGGATGTCCACATTCAAAATGAGAAGCATCAATGCGTGACCTGCAAAGAATCCAAAACAAGTCACAGACCTCAAGGTAAAAACTTTCTAGACCAAAAGGCATAAGAGAAAGTTTTATAGTGTTGAATTAGGCAGTGAGTTCTTAGAAATAGTGTTCTAAGAATAATTAAATAAGAAATAATGAGTTCTTAGAATATTAAAAATGTCTATCTGTTTTGTAAATATTCTGTTTAAAAATAAGACAAACTGTAACAAAAACAACAAGCAAACAAATAAATAAACTATGGTCGTTTGAACATAAATGGCCCCCATAAACTCATAGGGAGTGGGGCTATCAGGAGGTGGGCCTTTGTTGGAGTAGGTGTGGCCTTGTTGGAGGAAGTGTGTCACTGTGGAGACAGGCTTTGAGGTCCCATATATGCTCAAGTCATGCCCAGTGTCTCCGACCTTTTCCTGTTGCCAGCAAGTCAAGATGTAGGACCCTCAGCTCCATCTCCAGCACCATGTCTGCCTGCATGCTGCCATGTCCTACCATGATGATAACAGACTAAACCTCTGAAACTGTAAGCCACCTAATTAAATGTTTTCTTTTATAAGAGTTCATGGCACCTCCTCACAGCAATAGAAACCCCAATTAAGAAACAAACAAAAACTTTTGCTCCATATCAGGCTGTTTTTATTCTCAAATATGTAAATCCCTCAGATTTAAAACCCAAGAAAACAAAATTCTCATAAGATGTATCCAGTTATTTCATCATAGAAAATGTACAGAGAGTAAATAATAACATGAAAATAAATCCAAGATCATTTGACATTTAAGAACTTCAAATTAAAACTGCAATTATACACAGCTATATATCTATAAGAATACCTAAAGGGGATGGAGGGATGTCTCAGGAGTTAAGAGTACTGACTGTCCTTCCAAAGGATCTGGGTTCAGTTCCCAGGACCTATAGGATGGCTCACAATCATCTGTAACTCGAGTTCCAGAAGATACAGTGCCCTCTTCTGACCTCTTCTGGTGGCAGGCATGCATGTGGTACGTAAACATACATGCAAGGAACCAACTAATACATATAAAAGAAATAAATCTAAAAATTAAGATTTTCAAAAAGATTGGTTAAAGTGATGATATTGACCATACTGAATTATGGTGCAGATGAAAAGGAACTGGTTCATTTCTACACTCCTGATGGGAATGAAAAGTGCGTTAATTTTGGAAAAACATTTAGCAGTTTCTCAGGTCCATGTACTTCATGAACTGAACATCACACTTGTAGGTGTTCATCTGAGAAATCAGATCCTGAGTTTGACAAAGACTTGCTCATGGACATTCGTAGCAGCTTTATATAAATAAAGGTGAACCCAAACTGAAACAAACCAAATGGCGTTAATAAGTACACAGATAAACAATTAGCAGTATGTACCCGTAGTGTAATGCTTAATATTTAAAAAGTAAGAAGAACTGATAAAAGACACTGATATATATATATATATATATATATATATATATATATATATATATAATATATAATAGCACCAAGTGAAAGAAACTTGGCCAAAAAACACATACTATGCAATTCCATTCACATAAACTATGTGAATCACATGTGGTGGTGCACTCCTTTAATCTTAGTACCTGGGAGTCAGAGGCAGAAGAAACTGTGAGTTGGAGGTCAGCCTGGTCTGCATAATGAGTTCCAGGCCAGCCAAAGCTACATGGTGAGACCCTGTCTTAAAAAAAAAACCAAAAAACCTATAAACTCTATGAAATGCAAGATGAAAGCAGATTAGTGTTTGTTCTAGGGAGGAGGCATTGGAAAGGGGCAGAAGTGGCAGATATGCTTATCACCTCAGCTATGGTGATATGATCACCACAGTTTACAATACTTACAAATTCAGTTTATTGTAAGTTCATTACATAGCAAAACTGCCAATGAAAAAAGTAATCCTTGTCTCATCTTCCCAAGGATGCATCTGTCATATATAAACACACAGACACATAACACACACCACACACACACACACACACACACACACACACACACACCACACACACCACACCACACACACACACACATACATACACACACACACACACACACACAGAATTGCTGGCCTAGAACAATGGAAAGCTTCCTTTGAAGTGGAAGTATCTGTGAAGTGTGTGGAGAATGGAGGCTTTGAAAATAGAACTTTCTAAGTCCGTCTTTTCCAATAGAACACTAGTTTTATACCTAGCTCATATTGCTCTAAGAACTTGTCCTGCAACTTAGTTTCCTCCATTTTGGTCGTGTATGTTTCTGAATCATAGCATAGCATGACAGGATCAAGGAGAGGTTGTCTACAAAGGATGTGTAATTTAAGGGGGAAAAAAATCTAGGTTTGCTTTGGGGCCACATATTATGTGGTTCTAACAAATACTGTTTTAAAGGATTAAAGTCACAGTACTGTTCTTTGGTAGAGAAAAGATGAAGAAATAACTTATGCAAGAACTGATCACAGCGACTGAAGAGGTAGTTCATGGCTAAGAGGACTGGCTGTTCTTCCAAAGGACCTGAGTTCAATTCTTAGGACCTACATAGCAGCTAACAACCATCTGTAAATTCCAGTTCCAAGGGATCTTATGCTCTCTTCTGTCCTCCAGGTGCATAGACACACATGTCGGCATCCCCCCATAAAGATAAAATAAAAATTAAAAAATATAAATGTGGAAATGGTGCAGTATGGAGATGGACCACAGTTACAAAGGTCAAGCTGTGATTGTGGGAATGGTGCAGTGTGGAGATGGACCACAGTTACAAAGGTCAAGCTGTGGATGTGGAAATGGTGCAGTATGGAGATGGACCACAGTTACAAAGGTCAAGCTGTGGATGTGGGAATGGTGCAGTGTGGTGATGGACCACAGTTACAAAGGTCA